CCTGCTGGCCTAAAAGAGAGCAGGATCAAACATCAGCCCTGGACTTGTTTTCTTGTGGCATTGTTAAGAGTTAACATTATTGCCACCCGACACAGCATTCAGGAGGGCTTAAATCTTTGTAGGTCAATAGCATGTGAAGGCTACTGTTCTTTTAAAATTAATGCTTTTTTATTATTGCTGTGCAGAGTTCTGATTAGTATTGCCAGCTGTATCAAAGTGTGTAATATTAGATGAAAAAAACATTGACTGCATTTTAGATTTTGCATAAATACAGTAACAGCTTTACTGTTGCAAACAATACTGCAGTAATTTTAGAAGATAGTGGAAGATAACAGTAAATATTGGTCATTTGGAGTGGTTTACTTCTAAACTACTGTTTCATCAGTACATTCGGGCTGCCGATTTCTTCTGGAACAGAGGGACACATTTAAAGAAAAGATGCTTTTTGGGTTTGGAGAGACATGTTGAATTTAATCCTTTTTTTTTTTTTTTTTAAAGGCAAACCAAAACAACTGGAGGACAAAATGGTGCAGAAGCTACAAGAGGATGTGGCGATGGAGGAAGATTCCTAAAGTGCATTTTGCATTTTCTATTTGCACCTCTTCAGCAGTTAGCAGTTGCTAACTTCCTCACCAGGCATCATTCAGAACTGTGCTTATAGTTGAAGAAAAAATACTTTTTATTGAATAGTGCTCACCTCCAGGTTAACTGATTTTTGTTCTTGTGAAAATTAATACTTGTGAAATGATTCTTCTTGTGGATAATGGTTTGGGCAGTGCTTACAGTTATCTAATTCAACAAAACCTTGTCAACAGGATGAAAAACAAAGCATATTGTTTGCAGTACTACATGGTCTTTGTTATCAAGAAAGACAATGTAATTTTCCTTTTCCCTGATAAAATCAAGGTATAAAAGATGCTGGCCCTGGACTTTTTTTGACTGTTGTTCTTTTGTAGTGGTAAAAGCAGAAAAAAGGTATCTTAATTTTTAGAAATTGGGGCAGTGCTGGTTTGTTTTCAGTCTGCTCATTAGGAATATTTTTCAGCTTGTATTGTGAATGCAGATTGTGTTTGTTTTATTTAGATTCCCCAAGATTACATGGCAATTGATGTCTAAGCTTGGCAAAGCTAATGTAGATGTAGGCCTTACTGCCATTTGGAAAATAAGAGGAATAGTGATAGCATCTCCTCTGAAGTTGGAACCATCAGCATCCTCCTGAACTACTGAAACTCAAATCTGGCATGTAATCGGGCTGATTCATATGCTCAATAAATCATGCTTTTGAGTGTTTATAATGTAACCTAATACTCAGGATTATTTTGATAGAAAAGATAATCAAATTAAAGTATAGGTATATTGCATATCGGTTTGGTATTTATCTTTATGCTGCGTGTCGTCAGTATTCAGATAAATACTCGCTCTTTTAAACAGTCAACAGTTTATCTACATCAGTGTGATTAGAGAAGCCTTTAAAAAGCCTTTGAAGTAGCATTTACTTTCTTGTTGATGCTACCTATCCTGAAAAATAATTATTTGCAGTTCTATTCCACACTTGAGTATGTGGTAAATTGGGAAAATTCCTCGTATGTACTACCTACATGTGCATTGCGTAACTCAGGAAAGAATCAGATTTGAGCATATGAAAAGGTAAGTGGTAGTGGAGAATGCGTGAGCTGAATAGGGCATTGTACTCAAAATTTTCATCTCTTAATTTACAAATTATGTTTAGGTATTTAGAAAATTTTGATGCATTTTAGGGAGATAAGAATATAATTCTTACATAACTTCATGAAATAAACAATTTATATACTTTAAAATTTGCTAATAAGGTGATATCATGTTAAAAGTATTTTGTATGTGTAGTTCTAGTATTTCCTGTGTAAACTTTAATATAGATAACATCTCAAAGGCATATGGTTAAATGACCAGGAAGCACATGCCAACAGGATAATTCAGTAAGATGCTACAAAAAATTCCTTGGACGTAATGCAAGGGAACACCCCACAGAATGCTAATTGGTATCTTTGTGATTATGCAGGTTAACTAGCCCCCTTACATTTGGATCAGGCCTTCACTAGGTGGATTCAATGAATTGTTTGGCTTGCTAAGCAGCTGAAAAACTCATTTTCTTGCCAGCCAAGAACTTACATAATTGAAAATACTGTACTGGGAGTTGGGGGCTGATTTCGGAGGGAATATGGCAAAAGATTTAATTATGGTCTTTAGTCCTTTTCCAGTTTATTAACTGTCCTGGTTCAGAGGGGAGCAGAGGGAAAGTATCAATGAGGTCAAGTCTAGAAATTGAGGGGGAAGCACTAAATTACAGTGTTAGTCTCTTACCCACTGCCTTGCACCCAGTTTTTGAAAACTTTGTTGGAGAAAGTTTCTGAAAGAAAATGGAAACCTAGGTGCTTTTCTGAGAGTAGCATTTCTGTTTTGTAAAGCGTGTTAACTTCACCAGTGACGAGTAATGTTTGTCCCTGTGTTCAGTCTGCTTGTCACAAATTTGGATTACTGTGTTAGTAGTTAAACTTTGTTGGTGATTTCTCTCTTCACTGCCCCCATCCTTGATGCTTTGCTTTTATTTTGACTGCTAGTAGTGGTGTGTGGTACTACAGCTGAATCCAGTGAAAGATAATTGTTTGATAGCTAAACTGCAGATGAAGTCGATTCCAAAGACAACAAGGTTTCAAACTGTAGTATGGCAGCAGCCTCAAGGAGTGCAGTATATCTGCTTCTGTATTAGAAGACTTAAGTGCTATCATCTGCTGTATTATTCTTATTTAAAGGAGAGTTTTGCTGAGTTATTTGATTGACAGATCTTTTTACTATTAAAGAACCACAATTTTCTTTTGGCCATAAGCACCAAATAGTTTTGTAGCAGTGCTCCGGTTTCTGCGATCTGGCACCTGTCAATTAAGAATAGGCTCGTCTAAAAAGCTGCTGATTAACAGAAGAAGAGTTGTGCAGATTTGACATCAGGGCTCAGATCCACAAAAAAACCAGAATGTGCGGCTTGTACAAAGGCCCTTAAACTGCCTCAAAATACTTATTTTGGGGTACAGCTTTATCTATACCTATAGAGGGAGCTGGAAGGAAAAAGGGGCAGGAATTTTAAGGAGGGGAGGAGAGATATTTCAGGTAGGGTCCAATAAAAAAAAAAAAAAAAAAAGTCTGTGGATTGAATGGTGTTGTGGGTTCCCCCAATCAGCTTCACTTTAGAGAATCTGAGAGGGGAGGAAGGAATTAATGTTGAGTGTTTGAAAGGGTTCGTAGGTTTCAAAGTGCCCAGCCTGCAGATTTTGGTTTAATGGTCTGTGAAATTTTTCTGTTTTACTGGAAATAGTCGTATTTATATTTAATTTTAAAACATTAAGGCATTTGTTTTGCAGGATAAGCATTGGATTTATCAGTTTTACCTCTGCATATGTGTTAGGAAGATTATTCATGCTCTGTAGGGCTAGATAATGACGGTATTTGTTTATTTATCCACTTAGGCAGTAGTTTCTGAAAATGTACGTTTGAAGATAATATATGCTGCAATGCTAAACTTTTATGCAAAATTTTTCTTTGGAGAGTTTGACTTAATTTTTTTTGTAAAGGCTTGCTTACCAACTAAAATGCGTTTACTGCTCAAAAATGTCTTTTGGTAATATGTAGGATGAAAGAAAAATTGGTTTCAAAATATCTTACACATTAGAAATAAATTAATCGTTCTGGGAATATCATAAATCTACAGAATTGCCTTAGGAACACAATATGAAATGTGTTGCAAGAGTTCTTATGGATCACAATTGTTGCTAATATTTAAATATGCTTATGCAAGTGTGTGCTTTTTTTCCATATTGAATTTTGGCGCACAGGTACCCCACTGCATGTTTTAACCCGGTCAGTGCTTTGCAAGCCATCTCTAAAACTTCCTTGATATTTTGCAAGGGATCAGAGGTGTCGCCGCCCCCCCCCCCCCCAAAAACACGATTTGGGGGGGGGCGGGCCCCACTTTGGATTGCAGTGTTCCACTGGCTCACCAGTGACTTTGGTAGAGCCATTTATTCTTATCTCAGTATCTCAGCTTGTAAAACGTGGGTTTTTTGTGTGACCTGTCTTACCATGTTATTTGATGTAATTAGCCCTTAAAGTGGGGTACTTCTAGAAAAAGTCTTATTACACAAACTTTACTCTGAGTTTTAAAGAACTGATGTTCAGTGGATGCCAGATTTTAATTTTCTCCAAAAAAGGTAAATTAAACCTGTGCAAGGCAGAGGAAAGGAGATGAATCCCACCAGATGTTATGCAGTATTTATATGCAATCTCTTTATGTGAGAAGTTTTAAGCATTAAATACTTCATGTTACATAGTATCTGTAGTTTTTATGTCTACTTACCTTTAAATGAAGTGCACTAGCCAGGCTGCTCTGTTGGGCTTGTTAACCCTTTGCCAGAGTGATCTGTATTGAAATAGTCTCTGTGCCTCAGCTAGCAAAAGCCATTTGGGAAATATTATCTACTCTAAATCCTAAGCACCCTGTCATTTGTGAGAGCCGCTTAACTTGCGTACCTCATTCTAACCATCTGTGTATTTGCAAGTAAAAGGTACTCAAAAGCTAACACTGCAGTTGTGCAGAGACTTCTAGCTCACTGCGTGCACCTCGGGAGCGCGTAGGAAGCGGCTGGGAGAGTTAAAAATTTGTCCAAGGTACCAGGCTTCCAGCACCCCTTCTGACTGCTTAGGGGGAAAATTTGCAGCTAAACCAAAACTGGCTAGAAAACTTCTCTAGATTTTTGGATTTTTTTTCAAGAATCAGAGAGAGAGAACATCTGACTGGGAAGTATTCTGGTGGTCGTTGAGAAATACTGCCAAATACCAGGAGGGAGAAGAGTTCCCCTTTCCGCCGGGGCTGCTGCGACGTGGGTGCTGGCGCGGAGGGGTGCCGCCGTCTGTCACACGGGGCCGGGGCTCTCCCCTCTCCCGCCTCTCCGGGCTGCTGGTCGGCGCCCGTCCTTGGGGGATGCACGAGCTGCCGTCCACTCCCCCTTCAGCAGCGAATACCAAGGGGCGGTGTTCAATGAGCTGCGCAGCTTCTTTCATTAAATCTCTCTATTTTAACGTCATAACGTCCAAATGATTGATGCTGTTAGTGTTGAGATCTAGCAGGAGCAGAGCACGAGGTGCTGCACGGACCATCTGTTGCCAGGCGGATGATCATGCATCCATTGGGTTAAATATTTAATCAGAAAAATCAATTATTTATGAATAACTGGTAACGCGCAATTCCAGGGTTCAGTTCATCTTGCTTGGTGTTGACTAGATCCAACAAACTGTTACGTTTCCTTGTTTTTGTTAGATGCCGTTGGTGGCTTTTCTCTTAAAGATTGATGGGATAGATCAAAACAAACGTGTTACTCCATTTTTAAAAAATGTTTTCTAGTTTTAGTCACTGCTGTCTTTTCTCAGCAAACAAAAACAGATGTACGTATTACTTTTTTTTTCCAGCCCGGCTCGACGAAGGGGTGGAATGTGGGTTTAAGTCGTAATCTGTGAAGTGACCTTTTTTATTTCCCTCCCCCTCCCCCCCCCCTTTTTTAAATCTGTCACATCAGTATCTTTACGTTAGAGGCCAGCTTTGTTTTCAGGAGGCGATGA